GATGTGATAAGATTCATCAGTTCTATTTCCCTTTGTGGCTTTCTTACCAGGAGGATCAGTGTATTTTCAGCAAGCATTTTCTGGGTTCAGTTTGGTTTTATATGATTATTGAGCTACTAAGATTTAATCTTTCTCCTTATAAATATATTTTTAAATGGATAGCACCACATTGGTGATATTATTTATGTGGATTGACTTATAGGAGAAAACAGATCAAAGGAAAGTGGTAGTTCCTTATGGGAAGGAACTTAAGTGTACTTCTATCTTATCAAACAAATATATCATTAATTTAAACATGATGGTTAGATGTGCAATTCATTAGTAGCCCTTGGAAAAGTCACACCACCAGTCGTGATGCTTCTATTCAACGGATGGCTGTCACTGCCACCTTCTGGCTTTGAGCTAGCACATAAAGAAGGAGAGCACCTCACACACTCAAAGGGGCAAGAGTCAATTCCACTACAGAGATTGCTGCAAGCGTTTTTGGTAGGTGGTGCATAACCTTTAAACTGTGGATAGGGAAGCCTGTACTAAACACAAATACTGGTTTTTAAATTTCTTATAAAAGAGATTCTTCTTTACTAGCATACTGTCAGATTTATTTAAGGCTGCCATGATACTAACCATTCAAGAATTACTAAAGAAAAATAGAAATGGGGGAAATAAAGATTGTAGTTAAGGTTTTAGAAGAATTTGGTTATATCCTTGATGTTTGAGCAATGAAACGAGGCTATTCAAGATGGGCCAATCATGCAGACAACACGTACTAGTAGTTTCAAGGAATGATTCATTTAGAAGTCTTTCTTTAAATTCACTGAGAACTATGTGAGAATTATGGTGAAACATGAGGCCCTTTTTAAAAGGTAAGAAAAATGGTTTTAAGCACATTTTCAGAACAATTACTTTCTTATGCACTTAGCCTTCATGTCTTACTTGGATGCTCACAGAAACATGGTGGAGTGGAACTTGCTACATTTACAGTATGTACCTCTCTACCCAGTTCCTCAAACTTCTTAAATGTCACTATTCAAGACTAAAATTTAATCAAGAACATTACCTAAAAAGACACTAAGAACTACAGTAACTCTACTCATGATAGAACAACTTATTCAATTTCTGTATATTTTCCTATTATGCTTTGAAGTTACAGACTGCTGACAAACAGGAAGAGGATATGCCTACTTTTTTATACGTTGCTTTATAAAACTAAATGTTTTATGATAGAAAAAGATGGCTAAGGCTTATTACAGAACAACCATTTTGTTGAAATCAACACTTAAATTTTTTAATTAGATGAAATTTATTTTCTAAAACATATGCGCTGTATTATTAATAAGCAAAAGATAGCTAACTATTGTCATGTTGCTGTGTGAAACAGCATTGTTTTTAGCAAACTCCATCAGCCTTCATTATTTCTATCAAATTTAAGATGAAAGTCTACATCAAAACTACAAAACACTTGACTTGCATTGCCCTACCTAAATGATTTTTATTCTCTGTACCACATTGCAGCAATTTAAAAAGATAGGCTTCACAAAGATGGTAGATTATTCATACCCTCACTCACATTAATGAATCAAAAGTCATGAAAAAGAGTATCATGCTCCCAACACAAATATAATCACATACCACTTTTCCACCTATTGGAAGAAGGATTGCTCTGCTAACATAGTCACTACAGATAATGGAAATGTTTGACCTGGAGATTGATTCTGAGACTTGCTTAACCACGTTCTTGTTCTGTTTTCGGAGTGTGACCTCTTGGGATGTTGTATTTGCCTTAACCACTTCTCAATGATAATCTCACTCCTCCCTTTCAGTGATAGTCAAAGAGACTAATCATTTGGAAGAAGAAATCTTCAGTTTGTTCATCTCCTCCAATATTATAAATGTTATTAAAAATCTGAATTTTAGTAGGAGTGAATTCTGATATTTTATGTTAAATTTTAACAGAAAGCCTAGAACATTTTAAGCTTCCAAGAGCTTAAGTTTCAAAATTCATTTTCGTAGAGTTTAAAAAATATTTAGATTTGGTGCTAATAATGTTGAATCTGGTGTGTGTGTGTGAATGTACATGATTTTTTTGTGTGCAGTGTTGGACTACAAACTTGATTTTTTTATGAAAGGGGTTGCCAATTTCCCAGATTACATAAAATCCTGTGTATTGAATTAGTAGGAAGGAGGGTTACAAGATGGTTACAAGAGAAGTGTATATTTGCTTTTCTGAAACATTTTTATAATTTTAAAGAATGTCCATATAGTGATTACCAAACCAAGCTCTGCTTTTCCACGTAAAATGGGATTAAAAGTTAAATATTCCAAGTCTGTTATATTGGTTGAATTGACAATATTGTTTCCTTACAGAAATTGGTAGATATTAGAATCATTTTTCAGAAAATGAAAAATACATGTAATAATTCCTCTCTATATTTTTGTTCATTTTTGGTAATCTGTAATGTTGCAAAATGAAAATCTATTTTTATTATAATCAAGAGTATGCCCTGAAACTGAAATTGTAAGAAAAAGGAAGGGAAAGAATAGGACAAAAAGGGAGAAGTTAAACCAGATTATGTCAATACATTTAAAACTGGTCTTTAACAAGAAAGCCTATAGTCCGCATTGCTCAAATCCCCTCAGTTGTCTCTTCATACTGTCTGCACTCTTGCCATCCCAGATTTTAGGTTTTCACATGACACCCTTTCTGTGGTGTTTGTGACTCAGTCCTGCAATGCAACATAATTCAGATTGTACACTTAACTACTGTAACAGAGATGCTGAGTAGCAAATCATCCCAAATTTTCACAGTGAGTTACAAATGAGTCAATACCTGTAACATAATCACCAGCAAATGCATATCAACAAACTTATGTGTACTTTAGAGATAATACAATCACCCTCATTCTTCCAGCAGGATTCCAAGTAAGTACCAATATTCCTATTCTAGAGATGAGCAAAACTGAGTCCCCAGGAGGCAAATTATTTTGTTAGAGCCCCTGCAGACACGAGTAGAGTAACTTTACCCTGTGGGGTGTGACTTTACATGTAAATGTATGATCTTGCTTGTCCTTTCTCTCTGAAACTCAGTATCAACGGTTCCTGAGGTGTCAGAAGCAAAACACCAAGAACTGTTTTTAGTTTAAACTTCACTGCAATAAGTGCCTTCCCACACAGAGAACTGCTATATGATGAATTTCTTGATTTTCAGCATTTACAACTAAGCTTTATCTCTCTTTCTCTCTCCCACCCTCCCTACCTCCCTGTTCTGCCTCATTTGGCTAAGATTAACACTGCAAAAATTCCATTTCTGAGTGTGACTGAAAGTATTAGCTCAAATCCAACATTTTTTTTTTTAAACATTTCTGCTGGTCTACATTGCCAGAAAATGCAAGCAGTATCTGATTATGCTTCATATAATCCAACAGCTGCGTGGCTGTAGAGGCTGTTAGACCACAGACATTGTGTTTGCCTGTAGATATTGGCATATACTCTCCAGGTGCTTAATTTCTACTTTGACATTTTCAGTAAGGGTTTCTGCGTCCTTCAAGAACTGAATGCAAAGCAAAGTTCTTCCTAGCTGAAGATCTCTTGATGTTAGTAAAATTATGAGACAGAAATTTTGCCAAGTTGGTTTCTGAAGGCTGTTCTGTGCAGTGCCAACATCACAATTACAAATTGATCTCAACACTAATTTAACTGCCTGAGGGTTCGTTAGAATCTGTATCCACAGTAATATTTATTTAAGGAAGTTTAAAATGTATATATTATTAACAGGTTGTGTTTACATTTATGGGATACAACAGGATATTTTGATATTTGTATATAATGTAGCATGGTTAAGTCAAGGTTCTCCAAAACCTCATTCCCTTGCAGAAAGGCCTCTTTATTAACTGAAATACTCTCATCTATCATAACATGTTATTCATATGAGTAACCGATACCTAATGACATACCTTTATGATACAAAGAATATGTAAAATAAAACAATGTATAAATAAAATTTAGCTTTACTTAAAATTCATTTACAATAAAGTATGCACTTTTTGGCTTCAGTAAATTAAATATATAAAATGGCTTATTTATCAACAAAGGAATGGATACAATCCAAATCCATGTTTATAAACACCACATTTTAATTACATAGTTTGGTATATTTTCATTCAAAATATTGGAAATATATTTACATTTTATGATTAGAATAATTTCATTAGAATAAATTCAGTCCTAAAATCATAATTTATACCTCTTGAAAGATCAGATAACTAGATGGATTTATAGATATTGATAATATATGACCTCAGTATCATAATTTCTGCACAGATTGAGCATAATAGGAAAAAATATTTAAACATATATATATATACATATCAAATCTTAATATTTTAAATGGCAACAACTGATTTTTGAATTTCTTCTCCTAAACATTGATTCAAATAATGATATTTGGTATTTTGATAACATATAAGCCTTACATTATTTATTTGAAAATAAAAATATATTTTACCAGATTAAATTTGTAGCTTTGAAGCCTATGTTAAAATTATTTCAACATTAACTTTATATGCAATGAATACATCTTAATAGTTAATGACTATGTAATGTGCACACATACATGATACCCATTGTAAACCCTGTTTTCTGAAACAAAGGATGCATGCATCTCATGATGTTTTACCACCTCTCATTCAAGAGATTAAAGTATTGTAAAGTGACTCACACTATGAAAAATTTTATTGGGAAAATGGTGTATTTTATGATCCAAAATGGTATCCAGCATATCAATATAACTCAGCTTTATAACAACACGGTGAAGAGAGTGATACTACTAAACAGAGGTAACTCAACATTTTTAAAACATTATCTCAAGTTAAAACTACTGAGTTACAATGGGATGTCCAGGAATGGATTAGGGAAATAACAGACTTACACCTTTCCAATTTAAGCAATCACAGAATTTAAAATGGAGTAAGATGACAGGAGCAATCTTCACTCCCAACACTCACCTACAGTCAGTTGTCCTGTTAACTGCCCCATGTGATTCCTTGCATTCACCGTTACATTTCTGTCAGACTGTAAGACCAGTGGACTATCCTGGGAAACACGCATAAAAGAAATAAATCAAATGGATAATACAAGTGCACTGAAAACATTAAACTATACAGTATTTGGATATTACCAGATTTTATTTCTTTGTTTTAAATTTTGTCATTAAATAACTCAAACATTGTTTCAACAATATATACACATACATATATACATACATATATGGGTGTCTCTACATTTGGGAAATGTTTATTTTCAAGAGTGGGCATAAACTAATTCATGGAAGCATTTCCAATTCTGCTGATTCTTGTATGCTAAGTCTTGGTGTTGCTACTTTCCTCTCTTTCATTGGTTTATGACTTGTCTGTGCAGTCTTTCTGGATCCTATGCTAGATTTCCCTTTAAAATATGACTTTTAACTCTCAGAGCCAGTTTGTAAATGACACTTCCTCAAATAGCCTTCTCTCATCACTGTAACTACAGATTCACTTAATACTCAAACTCCCTATCTCAATTTATTTTCTTTAAAGTGCTTATCACACAGCAAATTAATTTTCCCATAGATGTGTCTACTATTTTGGTGTGTTATTTGTTATTTCTTTTTTTACTTGATTGTGTCATAAAAGGAAATATTCAGGAACAGGGACCATGGTGGTCACAGATACATATTGTCACTCCCAAAACTTACCTTACTGCTGAAGCATTTACTGACTGTATACTTCTGCACTACGAAATTGCTGGCACCTTGTTTAGCTACCTCACATTCAGCAAATCACATAAAGGATTGTTCGGGAATATGCATAGAAATACAGCAGCTGATACGGCACATCAAGTTAAGCCGCCATCTGAGATGCTGAGCACTGATACAAGCACTGGTTACACCATTGCTGATCCAGCTCCCTGACAATGTGCTCAGAAAAACAGAAACTGATCCAGGTATCTGAGCCTCTGACACTTATGTGGGAGACCTGGATGGAGCGTTCTGAGGCCTTGATTTAGGCCCAGCTCCGGCAGTTGCCACCGTTTCCACAACTAATCAGTGGCTAGTGTGTGCTCTCCCTCTCTCTGCCATTGAAATAAATACTCTTTTAAAAATACAAAACAAGGCCTATATAATGACTAGTTAGGTAATCGATTTTCTTTTAGGAAATAGCCTCGGGCTTAACGTTGACTTTTATTACCAATTTAGCCTTTAACAGTAAAATATTTATAGTTAATTGAAAGATGATGTCACTGGTTTAAGATTACTTGTATTTTGTCACTGGTGTAAGATTATAAGTTTCCCTGTATTCTTTGCTACCACTTTAGATGGGTGACCTACAATGGCCACATTATCCTCATGATGATCTACATGTTAATATAATCCTTCATAAATTTTTCATTCATTCACTCAAACATTCTGTAAGCACTCTATGTTAAAATTGTGGCATTCTAGAGCTTGAAACAGTTCTATGATTAAAATATAGGATACAGCCTGTCCTTTGAACCAAGTAGCATTAAGTGGAATATACAGAACAGTGAAGTCTTTTGAGTTTAAGCTGTTTAAGCTGAATTTTGATTGAATATATGCTCATGTATTCCAGTATTTTCATGATAAAACATAATCACTTAGAATTTTTATAAACCACAAGGTAGTATGTTCCATTTGGTATGATACATATTAAGTCCAAATAGTACTTTAGGTATTACACATATTCTCATAGGTTAACTGTATAACGGAGATCAGTATGCTGGGAAGTGAAGAGAAAAGGAAGGGAAGATGGATGGGGAAATCCCGATAGCTATAAAATCGTATCATGGAAAAAGTAATAGAAAACAATAAAGTTATGTAACATACAGGTACCTCATTATGAGTGTTATTGCCTTGATTTATTAAAATGAAAGAAAAGCTTATCTCAAAATGCAGTATAACTATTTTAATTAACAAAGAAATAAACTTGGGAGAATTATAAGTTTAAATAATTTGTTCCATGTCTACAACATTTGTGTCTACATTTATTCTAACCATGGTGTCTTGCTAATGCTCACTCACTGGCAACTTTTATTTAAATTACTCCACTAAATTTCTACAACGAATGCACAGGAAATTTTTACTGCAATAGCAAAGTAAACCCTTTACTTACTAAAACTATAAACACATAGTTATCAGAAGAAGTGCGCAATCGACACTCCATTCATAGGAATATCAATGTAGTAATATGCTACTTTGGTTTGTGAAATGCAGTAGGTAAACTACAACAGAACCAAAAACATTTTTGATCATCAAAATGCAATACATGTAGAAGATAATTTCCACTAGAAAATAATACAATTATTTGCTATATTTTATCTTTAGGAATTGGAATTACTTATCTTGAATTCTGAACCTGACAAATAATCTTTTATCTGTTATCAACAAAACACTAATTAAAATGCTACAAAATGTAACTATATAATGAAAAAGTTAATAGCCAATATTTCGGTTACTTAAAGGAGACACAATGCTAAGCAATTTACAGATTTTAAATTAAAAAAAAAACACTTTTTAATTCAGAATTAATACCACTAAACTACCTTTTAGCTAAAATGAGTGACACTTATTAGATGCTTTCCTAAACTAAGACTTGAAAACATCCAATGTTTTCCATCTTCTTTTTTTGTTCAAGGGATTCTATATAGGAATGACCACCAATATTTTATTGCTTTTCTGCATTTTATGCTATTTACAACACTTAGTGGCACCTAATCAGTGCCAAGGACTGCTCTAAGTGCTGTGAATCTTTGAGTTCATGCTGTTTGGACATTTACAATAAAACCACCCATGACAAGTCAAGACTATAAAACACATAGGTCATAGCGTAGCCTTTGCTCTTAGGCCCTTTAAACATTTTACAGAATCCTCACTATTATGGTACTTTACTAATATTAGTGCTTGGTACCACCAATCTTGCTTATAAATGAAGATACTGTGTCACAGAGAATTTAAAGCATTTACATAAATTACACATCTAATTCATGACAGGAATGATATTGGATCCCAGCAATCTGAGTCAAGACTCTGTCATCCTTCCCTCTCTTTTTTATTGTTGTTTTAATTTTCCATGATACAGTTTTGTAGATACAGGGTTTCCCCTCTCCATCTTCCCTTCTCTCCCTATTTCCACACTTACAACTATTTCCCTCCATATTTCAATAGCATAGTCCTTCAGCAATAGTCACAAGTCCAACATTCTGCTATTTAAGGATATCATAGAACTGTAGGTACAGGCAATAGTGGGAAATTCAGCATCATACTGTCATCCTAATTGACAGCTTCACTGGAAGTCCTTTTATTCCGGATGAGAGGTGCCTAATGTAACACAGATTTACTTCCTGGTATGCTCGTCTCCATTATATAGTTAATCTCTGAGAACATGTCTTTCAAGCAAATAATGCACAGCTGAAAACAAGTACATATACTACATTAAATATACAAACTCCTGTCTGCCATAATTCCAGTTGCAGCGACACAGTTTGGCTCATTTTTGTTTCCTGAGTTCTCATGTCCTGTGTCCACACATCTTGGTCAGTGTCACCTGTCAAGCTACCCTATCCATTGAGAGTTAATTCACTTCTTGGTTCTCAATCCTCAGTCCTTACTACTGCCATTCTTGGTACTTCTTGAAAGTTATTTTGCTTTGTTTAGCATTAATATTTCATACATTGGAATTGTACATTCATGGGACTATTGTTCACTGGACACAGTATGGTATTTCTCTTTTCCCATGTAAGCTACAGAAAATAGAGCCTGTACCATGTTTGACATAACAGTTCATGTTCCATAAATGCATGTTTAGTGGGTGAAGTGAGCTGAGCTAATTTATAACACTATGTCCCTGGGCTATTTCACATGTCTGCTGGATTTGTTTTCAGGTCAGCTGAAACATATTAAGTTCTTGCTGTTTCTCTTTAGTCTCTGTTCTCTCCCTCTCTTTCCACCACTTCCGAACAAGTAATCTGAAATCTCTTTAAATAGATCAAGCAATGTCACATTATGATATGATTTATATTCATCATTTGCAGCTCAAGGCAGCTAGTTCATTCCTTTCCTTAAGAATTTGACCCACTTAGAGATTCCAAAAAGAAGGTAATTTTAAACTTCCTCAGTTAATAAAAGATTACTTGAAGCTTCATTTCCTTCAGAATGAACAAGCATTTAATTATTGAGATTTTTATTTTAAAACTAAATGTGTTGATTATAAAAAGGAAGACTTTTAGAGCTGTTAGTCTTTCGCTAAATCCCAGTGTTCTTATTTTTAACTTGAAGGGGAACTAGTGCAATAAAGAGATAGTATTGATTCATCATCAACCAATATACATTTGTACTCTGCAGTTTTTAAAGACTTCTGCCCTTGGATGCAATTTGGTTTAAATTACTTATTCATGCAGGCAAGATCAGGAGTATCTGGATTTTCCAAGTGTTGAGATTGTCTTTATGGCTTCTGCCTGGTTGTTGAAAGTGCTACAGTCATCATAGCTGACTAGCCATGCTCCAACTTGTGTCTCTTATTCCAGTTACTACAGATGAGTATGTATCCAGAAGGGTGCAACAAGTTTTACACTAGACCTTTTATTTGCAGGGATTCTTTGGTCTGCTGTCACGTCTTGTATTATCCAATATGCTATAATTCAACATTTAACCCAGGAAATGGATGCTTTCAGGACCCATATCTTAAAAGGCAGAATATTCTATGCAGCTAACCTAATAATGATCAGACCAGTGATGAATTTCTACTGCTTTAATGAGATTATATAGCCCATAATTTCCAGAAAAGCTCTTCTTCCTTTGAGACTGTTTTGTAAACTCTTGTCACTTCCTTTAGGTGAGCAGTTTCCAATTTTCCTCTCCAGCTGCCCCTTTAACCTTTCCTATGACTGACCTGCCCCTTACAGTAATCTCGGAGTGGTAGATATCAAAGTTGGTAGCTATCTAAGACTAATAATTATACAAAGCTTTGTCCACTGGAAGCTCCACCAGCACGAGCTGTAACTGGTGGCTGACTGGGCCAGGCCAGGCTATAGCATCCACT